TCCATGAGGTGGATTGATTCAGTGACTGGGGTAATCGGGATGGGTGTGTCAGAGGCCATGCAATTGGCACAGGATAGAGCAGGGTTTAGGGCTGTTGTACATAGGGTCACTATGAGTTGCAAACGACTCGACGGCACATAGCAACAACAACAATGCTTATACAATGCCATTCCCATTAGTGATTTCAGAAAACTGTTCAGCTAGCCTAATGGTATGTGGCTCTGGTTGCTTAGTGGCAAAGAGTGGTGCTACCAAGCCAAGGGCACATGGTTTGAATCTACCAGTTGTTCCATGAGCACTTTGACTCCCATGAGATTTGTTGCTTCTGGAAACGTGCTGGAGAGTCAGCTATTAGTCAGTTCTGACTCAAAGGTGCACAACAAGAGCAGTATACTGGTACTTAATCACTGTGCTCAGCTTGTAGAACTTGTTTCTAGATTTCTTTTTTCTATCCTTTTTTTTTATTAAAGAAAAAAATTACATCCAACTCACTAGGGACATAAATCACAACAGTTACAAAATTCTCTGGAAATTCCTCAAACTCGGGTCATTTAAAATTCAATTAAATTACTGAAGAATCAAAGGAGTCCTTAAGTTTGTTTCACCCATAAGACAAACCCTGACAACAACATGGAGTGAGGTGCCAGTGGACATAATTGTTTTCGTATGGGCCAAATTCAGCAAAGGAATGATGATATGTATACTTTCTACCAAGAAACACAAAACTGATAGAAGATGACTTTCATAGCAATGACTTGTGTTGTACATAGGGTCACTGAGTCGTACTCAATGGCACCTAACAAAAACAACAATGTAAAATAGTGTACTTCATTTGGAATTAAAATGTGTTTGTGGGAGTTTCAAATTTAACCAGTGTCTGAAACTTGAGCACAAGTCCTTTTTTTTACAAGTAAATGTAAAATTGGAGTAAGCAGAGCAGTTAAAAAATTAAGAAAATATGAGATAATAATTTTCTACTTGTTATCCTTTACTTTTCAAATCTGTGGTTCAAATACATATTAGTTTTTTTAAAAAAATACCTAAAGCAAGATTATGTCCTTATTTGATTTTACATATTGAACTTGGTTTTAACTCAAGATTAAAAAAATGAGATTGCCTTAATACAACTCAGTTTACATTTCACTTTACTTAAAGTCAGTTTTATCAGTCCTGTTTTTTGTTTTTACCACTAGCAGAATAATTCCACAACTTCCTTATTTGGAAGAGTTTGTTTTTTGCGTGTTTCTAATTATGCAATCAAATGGCTTTGAAGCAGGACATGGCAGACATGTGCCACGTGCTGTTCCCAAGGCAAAACTCAAGGTCTCTGGGTTAAAGGTATCAGCAGGTCACTCACGGATCTGTGATTGCTGGAATGATAAGCTCACCAAAATGTCAAATTTCGTTTGTTTCAGTAGCCTCCAAATTATAAACATCTCTGTTGCAGACAGAGTACTCCTAGTAAGCAAAGGTGATAAAATAGACTTTGGGCATGCTCCTTGGAGGCTAGTCCCTAGAGAAGGACATCATGCTTGGAAAGGTGGAGGGTGTGCAAAAGAGAGAAAAGAGTCTTAACCAGGGTGGCCTGGCACAATGACTGCAGCAAAGGGCTTGAGTAGTCAGAGATTGTAAGGATGGTACAGGATAGAACAGGGTTCAGATCTGTTGTTCATAGGGTCCCTATCAGTTGTACTCAACTTGATGGCACCTAATAACATTTATGACCTTTGGTCCTTAAAGCCACATTTATCATTAGTCCTATTGACTGTTTAGAGTGTTTAGAATGTGAGTTCTTTAAATGTAATGAATTTCCAGTCTCCATTCTTTGATTATTGTTGTTGTTGTTGATTGCCGCAGAGTTGAGTACAACTCATAGTGACTCCATGAACAAAATACCTAATGCCTTTGTATACATTTCTCCAAGTTCATAGAGTTTCCATAGGCATGTGGTTTAGGAAGTGGATGCCGCTGCTGCTTCCAAACCTTTCCTACAACTGGGAGCTCCACCAAACACTGTCCACATTGGTAAACCATTATGGTATTTGATACCTCAATGACACAGGTTCAGCATCACAGCAAACCCCAAATACCTTAGTACAGCAAATAGACAAGCAGGATGTGCAAAGTGGAAGAATGTGCCTCCAAAATATATCAACACTAGTATCACTTGTTGTTGTTGTTGTTCAGTGCAGTCGAGTCACAGGCGACTCATAACAACCCTATGAACGAAAGTCCTCGACAGTTGCGTGACTTTCATCCTTTCACCATGTTCGTAGAGTTTCCCAAGGCAAGCTATTTACGGAAGTGGATGCCACTCCTGCTTCCAAAACAGTGGTTAAATGTCATCAAGCCGAATACAATAGCGACCCTATGAACAAAAGACATAAACTCTGTTCTATAATTAATATAATTTATTTATGTTTATGGAGTCTATAGTTTATAAAAATAATATTCTCAAATCTCTTTATAGAAAATTAAGTATGTAAAAAATATTGTTATTGTAGTCTGTCATCAAATGTTGGCACAGTGGTTAACCATTCAGCTGCTAAATACTGGTGGTTGGGACCCACCAATCCTCACAGGAGAAATGAAGTTGCCATCTGCTTCTGTAATGATTACCTCCTAAAAAACCTGGGAAAGTTCTACCCTGTTCCACAGGACAGACTTGGGATGCAATGAATACTCTCTAAATTCAGAGTTCACGGAACTGGGCAGAATTATGTCAAAGCACTGAAGGGGGCAGCAGCCAGAGCACTTCGCACTTCATTTCATAGAGATTTTTTTTACCATCAGTTTTTTAGACTTGTTGGATTTCTCTTCAGTTGGACTTCACATGAAGGGAGCTCAGGCGGCCTAGTGAGTAAGGAGTTGCATTGCCAACCAACAGGCAGGTGATCCAATTCTACCAACTGCTCATGGAAGAAAGATGGGCAGTTTCCTCCTGATTTGCAGCCTCTGAAAACCTCCTAGAGGTCCAGTTATAGATGGGTTGGTTCTGACTCGACAGCAATGAGAGAGAGAAACTTCATGAGAGTCAAATGAGAAGGGAATATAAAAAGAGGAAGAAGTATTTAAATTGGAAGAACGTCTGACAATGACTTGTCATTGGGAACAGAATCCTTCCTTGTTCACAGGATAAAGCTACTTGATGACAGAACTGTTCTGTCATAATGACTCATTTGCGCAGAAATCCTCACAATGGCTCAGTTGCAACAGAAAGTATGCCCAAAGAAATTGGCATCTAGAATTTAATGACAGAGTTCTAGAAATTGGAATCCCCCTCCTGAAGAGTATGAAGAAATTCATGGATTTTGTGTATGTGCCAAATCTGTGTGACTATAATAATCTATAAAACTCTGGACAAATCCCCGGAGCCTGAATCTCCTTGCATTGCTTAGTGGTTTAAAGGCAAGGCTGTTGTAAATCTTGATTTCACGTTAATTAACTGCCTACTGCCTGAGCTGACTGGACAAACATCTTTGTTTTGAGCTGAATGATCCCTTCTGAGCAGGACCAAAGCAGGCAGACATTGATCTACTTTGAGACACAAAATTGGCAATTGTTACAATTTAAGGTTTCTTCACTCACTAGTTACATGATGTTAGGCAAGTTACTTAATCCTTGCTGTTCTTTGAAAAGTAACCATACCCATAGTAATTGAATTCAAGTGATTTGTAGAAAATATTCATTTCTAAATGTATTGGAGAAGCAGAGAAGGGCCTTATACACCGATGTCAAGAGGTTCTTCAAAGTTTGGGACAGTGAAGTAAACACCACACCACTTTAAGATATATCCAAGATGCCACATTGAAGAACTTGGCTAAGGAATGAGCACACAGAACTAAACTGATAAAAACAAAAACAAATACAGATTATTCCAGAAAGATCTAATAAAGATCCAGATGAATAAGTATAAACATATCATAATAATCACCAATAGAAGGTATAATCCTGAAGGACATTTTCTGTCACAATCAGGATTAAGGTGACTGTTTGATCATCAATTGATCCTGACTGTAATTTAAATTTTAAGTAAATTTCAGCCTTACCTACCTTTGGAAAGATCCACATCACCCAGAAAACATGATCCCTGACCTATTTACACATTATAAAGGAACAGAGAGAAATCAATTTCTCTCTTGGAATCATGGTAAATGGCAAATGTGTATTTTCTTAACAATTCTGCATTCTATGGTGAT